AGAAATGAATTTACCGGAATGAGAACCATTGACAGTAAATGGACCACTTCTACCTTACGTACTGGTAGGCGATGAAGCCTTTCAACTAACGGAGTATCTATTACGACCTTATCCTGGTCGTACTGGTTTAACTGAAGATCGAACAATTTATAATTATCGACTCAGTCGAGCGAGACGGACTATTGAGAATACTTTTGGTATTGTGGTTAGTCAATGGCGAATTCTTAAAAAACCTATAATTTGTACTGTTGACAAAGCAATGAAAATAGTACAAGCCATTGTATGTCTTCATAATTGGATTCGACATCAAGATTTAGAAGAAAATCAATATGTAACTCCAACAATGATAGATCAAGATGGTCCAGATGAGTTTCTTCCTGGTTCTTGGAGACAAGAAATAATTAATAGTGCATTCAAAGATGTAACCCAATGTGGTACAAATAATAGTTCTCGACAAGCGGCAAAAATTCTTGAAGAATTTTGTAAATTTTTCAATACTGAAGGAGTCATACCATGGCAATTTACTTATCATAATTATTAAAAAATTTTTAATTTTAAATAATTACATATGTAACTTTACATGTAACTTTACTTTACATTTTTACATTAGTTGTAGTCTTACTTAATAGTTATAATATGTTAGTATATAATATAATAGTTATAATATATAAGTATATTAGTATATATAATATAATAGTATTACATTAATTTTTAAAATAAGTCACAGTTTAAAGTTTTGCTAATTCATTATAAACTATTTCTAAGAATTGTTGTATGACTTTTATTCTTGTCAGCGTTGGCAGTTGTCTTAAATGATGTCCTATCGCTAGTAGAAATGAATCTACATCATCCTGTTCTGGAGGAGGAGGCAATGTTAATGTGCTTGGCTGACAAATTGCTTCAGCAATTCTATTAATAGCACCTGATGTATCATCATCACCACTTCGTTGTCTTTTTCTTGTATTATCTGAAATTATTACATTAATTTTAATCTGTAATTATTTTATTACTTTTCTAATAATGTTATTAAAAATACCTTTTTGAATAAATGAATCATTGCTTATGTTCGTTGAATTGCTAGCAGTACAACAGTCTCTCTCATTTACTTCATTTTCGATGTTTGACATAGTACTAAAAATTATATAAATTAATACATGTAAGTTGAATGTTTTAAAACATTTTTAAAAATTAAAAATAATACTTTTTAAGAAGACAATTATCACGAAGAAAAGTCATTGAATCATAGTGAAACCATTTCTTTTTATTGATTCGACCAGATCCACTTGCTTGATGCTCTGACTGTATAATTTTTCTAAAAGTGTCGTAAAGACTTTTAATTTTAATGTTTTTGCACTAAATTTTCCTATAACAAAAATTTCATTTTTTGTAACTTTTTATAATCTATACTTTTTAGAAAGTTTTATTAACTTATTCTTACCATTAAATGTTTGTGCAACTTCTTCCCATAATTGTTTTTTAATTTGCATACTTCGGTCTTTTAGAGGTAAGGTAAAATTCCATAAAGAAGGTCTGTTCTGTATCTCAAGTATTAAACTTTCCTCCTCATCAAAATTTAATCTTGATATAGGTGTTCTTTTTCTTGATGATGTTCCTAAAATAATTTACATATAAAAATACTTGAACAACCAAAGCAAACTGAAAGAGTTGAATATACACACTTTAATAAAATGATTGTATAATAACAGATAAAATAATTAGAAAATACCAAATGTAAAGAATCCAAAATAGATAGATTTAAAAATAGCCTAGAGAACAAACAGAACATGCAAACACTTATCACCTTCTTTACGCTTGCTTTATTTATACTTTCTTACAAGATTCACAAGCAAAATCAATAGAATTATAAACATTAGTTTGTCTAACATATTTATTCAAGAAATACAGAGCATTCTTACCCATATAGCACAGATTGTTGCAGAAAGCTTCCAGAAAGGTTTCAAACCTTGCAGAAAGCTTCCAGGAAGGTTTTAAACCTTTCTGGAAGCTTTCTGCAACAATCTGTGCTGTATGGGTAAATATTTAAAAGCATCATCCAAAAACTTCAACAAAGATAAAAGATTAATCACCACAACAGATAGAAGATCAATTTAATAACCACTTTCCCTATTTTTCAAATTTTGATTGAGCAATCAAATCTCTTTTTTTTCCTTCACCATTTTCTTTTCCAGATCAATCGCTAAGTAATAAATATAATAAAATACCTGTCAAGGGACAACTCAGTTAGATCCCTTCCTGATGAAGTAAATGACATGAATTTGTAAAAAAAATGATATGGTTGAAACCCAGTAATTGAATCTTTTTGTTTTTAATATTGCAATAACCTTTACATTTGTTTGGGATTAGTTTACCTTGTTGAAACGGTTCTGCTACTATTCTTTCTTCATTATTTATTTGGCTGCGTCGAACAATTGTAACACCATCTTCTATATATATGTACATATTAGATTAAAATACGAAAATAATTTCCTCTTTTTTAAAATGCAATGAAAGAAGCCAATTTACCTAAAACTGGATAAAAATACAAAGTATTTTCATCTATAAAATAATTGTTGTAGCCTTCTAAACAAGGATGGTTTTTGAAATCATCACCATCACAAATTTCTTCGCATACCCCACAGGTGTGAACAATTCTATAGTCGTCCTAGAAAAACATACAAACATAAAAATCGTCCTAGAAAAACATACAAACATAAAAAATAAGTAAAAACTTTATTACTACAACATAACCTAAAAATTATACTTCTAAACAAGTTTTCTACATTCTGTATTGTTAATTTTTCGTAATTAAAAATATTTTTTTATTATAAATTGTAATAATAAAAACTACTTTTTACTTACCTCTTCCATATTCGTATTTTTATACTCAACGATTGTTTTGACGTTGCTTTTTCACTGCTTGACGCTTGAAGTTGAGAGAATCCAACTTCTTCTCTTCGACCAATTTTGACGCTAGCATCAATATGACGTCACGTGATAACGCTCGACGCTGCTTTTCAGCGTCTCATGAAATGGCACCTTAATAGTTGTGATGACTTTACCCAAAAAACAGTCGATCGAAAAAATGATCTGCTAACTTCCCGTAGCAGATCATTTTCTAGCAGATAAAGAATAAAAGAGAGTTCTTCTCGCATACAGTCGAGTTCTATAGTTCCTGATACTTTTTAGCGATAGTTCTGGTAATTTTGCAAAAAAAAATCCATTGAAAAAAATCATTATCAAAACTTACGCAAATGATGTTCACGGCAAATCTTCGAAGTCGAATGTTTTCTTAACTAGTGACTGGATCGTTTTCGATCATA